TTAGATGTCCTCTGTTCTCCCCATAGTCCCCTTTTCCCCTCTTTGTATTGTTGTCATCAGACAGCCTGGGTTATCTAGGACAGGTAGAAAAAAGGCATGTACATGTGCCCCTTGCATGGGGCAGTTGAGAATGGAAAAGCTTATTGCTTGGGGGGGGGGGGGCACAGCATGACAACACCTGACCCTCCAATCAAGTTGAAAGAAAGCAGTCTCCACCAATAAATGGCAAAGAAGAGTTGACTGACAGACTTGGGAAGGGGCCAGGGTTGGCTGATGCAACCCCTCCCCCCGGGGTATAAAAGGCAAATCATCGATCTTGACGAGGAGCTATGTGGTAGGCAGCTGTAGTATATGGTAGAGATAATTCATGCTGTTTATGTATAAAATATTGTAAAATCCAAGCCATGTTTTTTGACCACCCCCAGCTGGGAGCAGGAGTCTTATTTTTATTCAATTAGTTCCCGGACCACATTCAGATAATATCAAGTCTGTTAACGTATGAATGGGACCTTCCTGGGCGATGATGGAGGACTTCCCTGGAATGTAGGAGTGATCTCGCACCTTGAAGATTGCATCTACTACACTCAGGCACCGGGCGCCACCCTACTACATGTGAATGCAGACTTTTCTGAGTGTTCTGACAACATCTAGACATCTGGAACCAACTTTTGTCTAACCCTGCACATGTATGGCCCCAGTTCTGCATGTGAAGGGACACAAAGGAACATTCGGTCATTTCTGCCCCAGGCAGAATAAACTGTATATAAGCTCACTGCATGAAGCAGTCGGGGTGAAACGAAGAGGAGACTGACATTTTGGCGGTCAGATCCAGGTTCACCCAGCGCCGATCCCAGGGTTGACGCTGCCTTGGCTGTGGTGGTTGTTTTTCGAAATTCTGTTTTGCTGACGATCTAATAAATCACTGCTAAATTTTCTTATAAATTTGGCTCACAATTTGATCATTTATAACACAGCCACGAGGGAGGCTCCCTAGACCTGTTTTTCCTTATTTAGTCCTTTTGTTGTATTTTTGTTAAGGTTTAATAAACCTTTTAAAATTTTTAGAGTGAGCAGTTGTTTCTCACAGTTTTGTAATGTACACAGTTGTTGTGGCTTAACCCCTGCCAACAACTAAACACCACACAGCTGTTCATTCACTCCTCCCTCCCTACAGTGGGATTGGGAAGAGAATTGGGAAAAATGGTTTGACGGTTGGACTTGACAGTTGTTGAGGTTGACAGTTGGATTTGATGATCACAAAGGTCTTTTTCAACCTTGATGATTCTACGATTCAATGATTTTATGAATAGCAAACCTTATGGGTTGAGATAAAGAAAGTTTACTAAGATAAAAAAGGAAGAGAAAAAAATAGAATATACAAAACAAATTCTGCGAAATTCAATGGCTCACCACTTGCTGTCTGATGCCCAGCCCATCCCTGAGCTGTGATTCCAGCCCCCTGGCAAACTTCTCCCAGTTTATTTGCTGAGCATGACATCATAGAATGTTAAGGGCTGGGAGGAGGGGCCTTAAACATCATCTAGTCCCAAGTATCCTGCCATGGGCAGAGACACCACCCACTAGATCAGGTTGCTCAGGGCCTCATCCAACCTGGCCTTGAATACTGCCAGGTTTGGGGCATCTACAACCTCCCTGGGCAACCTGTTCCAGTGCCTCACTACCCTTACAGTAAAGAATTTGTTTCTTATGTCTAACCTAAATTTCTCTTTCAATTTTTACCCATTACTCCTTGTCCTATCACTACAGTTCCTGATGAAGAGTCCCTCTCCAGGTTCCCTGTAGGTCCCTTCAGGTACTGGAAGGTTACTATGAGGCCTTCACAGAACCTTCCCTTCTCCAGGCTGAATAGCTCCAACTTTCTCAACCTGTATTTGTAGGGGAGGTGCTCCAGTCCTCCTATCAACTTCATGACCTTCCTCTGGATTTGCTCCAACAGTACCATGTCCTTCTTATGTTGGGGGCACCAGAACTGTACTCAGTACTCCAGATGGGGGTCTCAAAAGAGATGAGTAGAGGGAGACAATCACCTTCAACCTGCTGCCAATTCTCCTTTTGATGCAGTCCAGGATGTGATTGGCTTCCTGGGCTGTGAGCTCACACATGTAATATCCTTTTTGTCAGTTTGGGTCAGATGTCCTGGCTGTGCCCCTGCCTAGCTTCTTGTGCACCCCCAGGCTTCTCGCTGGCTGGACATGAGAAGCTGAAAAGTCCTTGACTTAGTATAAGCATGTCATGGTTTGAGAGGAAGTAGGATTTCTGGGATATGCTGTGGTCACCAATAAATGTTCAAATTTTAATATTGGCACCTGGTGTGGCCACTGGGGACAATGGATACACCTCTGAGAACACAGGGGTTAAAAAGCAGAGCACTCCCATGGGAAGTTCTCTTGGGTTTCAGTGGGGAAAGAGTTCCGATCTCTTCCCGTCCAGCTGCCCGCTGCTGGGCGGGGGGAGGGGCAGCCATGCGGCCGGGTGAGGTAGGCTGGGGCTTGGACAGAGATGGGACGTGAAGAGGCCCCCCAAGGATGGAAGGGTGGGAGAAGCACCTGGAGGCATCAGGCAGCCCCCCCAGGAGAGAGAGAGAGTACAGCCTGTGCCTGGACTGTGCTACCTTGAAACTTGATAACATGTGCCGGCAGCACAGCCGAGAAGGAGAAGAAGGGGGGAGTGCAGCGAGAAGGTGTCCGGCCGCTTGTGGGAGCTTTGGGCAGGCAGAGCCTGAGTTTTTAACCTTTTTTTGGACAATGAAAACTTTACAGAACATTAACCTTTCCTAGAAGAGAGATAGAGATGAAATAGAGGAAGAAATGGGCAAGTATGATGAAGGTTCGTGTAAGTGAAAGATGCCAGAAGATAGAGAAGAATCTTAGGCGGGAAGAGATGATGGAGTAGCTTTTGCTGGACTTTTCTTGTTATAGCCATGGACAGAACCATGTTTCCTTGTGACACAGAGACTGCATCCAGGGGGAGGCAGTTTTTAAGCCCTGTTAACAAAACCATAAAACCTCTATCCCTAGATTTCACTGTCCATCCTCCTTAATTTAGTACATGCTTTGTTCTAATTCCTCTTTGATCCCATCTCACAGTTGTATCTTATCACTCTCCTGAAATTCGATTTCCCGGTCAGAGAACCAAAAATGTCAAGGTTTGACGCTGGCACAATGCCAGTGCCCCCATGAAAATATATGCTCCCTGGTGTCTGCTGAGAGATGTGACCAGGAATAAGCAAAGCAGGCCCCTACTTAGAAATAAAGAAAACTTTATTACTTAAATTACAACTCTTAAGTAAAAAGAAACACACAGGGAAAATTAAAACCTTCCAGAAATATTTCCTCCTCCCCCCACCACATTCCACTACATCCATCCCCCAAATTTCAACTCTCGGTCCATCACCACCCTTTAGATAATCAATTCTCGATCCATCAAGAGGAGAGGAGTCCTTCTTGTCCCATAGGAAACACCATTGAAACCTCGTGTGTTTCCATGTCACTCGTGGCACCGCCTGGAGAACATCTGCCGTCCGTGACCTCTTCCTTCCATGTCCAGTGCTCTCACCACTGCACGTTGACCAGAGCTGCTTCTAGGGTTTTCCTTTTAAGGATGCTTTGTCCCATTCCAAAAAGAGCACAGTCTCACCTTTGGGACACCTGTCCCCCCAAATTTCACCCCCTGGGGCCGAGGGGTACCAACACTGAACCCTCTTGCCTCTGAGCCATCGCCTCCCCCTGGATGCAGTCTCTGTGTCACAAGGAAACATGGTTCTGTCCATGGCTATAACAAGAAAAGTCCAGCAAAAGCTACTCCATCATCTCTTCCCGCCTAAGATTCTTCTCTATCTTCTGGCATCTTTCACTTACACGAACCTTCATCATACTTGCCCATTTCTTCCTCTATTTCATCTCTATCTCTCTTCTAGGAAAGGTTAATGTTCTGTAAAGTTTTCATTGTCCAAAAAAAGGTTAAAAACTCAGGCTCTGCCTGCCCAAAGCTCCCACAAGCGGCCGGACACCTTCTCGCTGCACTCCCCCCTTCTTCTCCTTCTCGGCTGTGCTGCCGGCACATGTTATCAAGTTTCAAGGTAGCACAGTCCAGGCACAGGCTGTACTCTCTCTCTCTCCTGGGGGGGCTGCCTGATGCCTCCAGGTGCTTCTCCCACCCTTCCATCCTTGGGGGCCTCTTCACGTCCCATCTCTGTCCAAGCCCCAGCCTACCTCACCCGGCCGCATGGCTGCCCCTCCCCCCGCCCAGCAGCGGGCAGCTGGACGGGAAGAGATCGGAACTCTTTCCCCACTGAAACCCAAGAGAACTTCCCATGGGAGTGCTCTGCTTTTTAACCCCTGTGTTCTCAGAGGTGTATCCATTGTCCCCAGTGGCCACACCAGGTGCCAATATTAAAATTTGAACATTTATTGGTGACCACAGCATATCCCAGAAATCCTACTTCCTCTCAAACCACGACAAAGCACCACATAGCAAGAAGTAAAACATCTGTATGTTATCAACATTATTCTCATCTTAAATCCAAAACACAGCACTGTATCAACTTCTATGAAGAAAATTACTTCTATTCCAGCTGAAAACAGTATACAAAATAAATGTCATATAAATAAAAATCCAGTTTTGACTGGAGGATTTTAAAAGTTAAAACAGTTTTTTTAATTCCTGCATAATATATTAATACTTGAATGAGATCTTCCTCTCATATCTTCACTTTTTGTCATACTTTTCTCCACCCATTTTCAGATGGGGCTAAAATAATTTTCTCTTAAGTTTAATGAATACTTATTTTAACAGTGAGTCCAAGTTAATTGCTCAGTACTTTGACATATGAAATGTTATTTTGTGTAGATGCGGGGGTTTTTTGCCAATCTTGTTAAGTTTGGTTACAGCAACTGTACACTCTTTTCTACAATGATGTTTCCCTCACTTAAACAATTCAAATAAATAACTATTACTTCTTTTATTTTCTTTTCCTAAAGTCGAACAACTTATCCTTACACGGAAACCCAGATGTATAGCCAAAACACTGGGGGAAATTACTTCGAAGGAAGTTCTGCACAGGCAACTACAGTGGTCTCCTCTCATAGTATGGTGGGCACCGGAGGGATTCAGATGGGTGTTGCAGGAGGACAGCTCATTAGCAACTCAGGAGGGACCTATCTGATTGGCAATTCAATGGAAAATTCTGGTCATTCAGTGACTCATACAACACGGGCCTCCCCAGCTACAGTAAGTACTTCAGAACTATGTTAAATCTTTGGGGATATTTCTTAATCACTATGATGTTCTGGCATGCTAACATGTTTCTGTAGCAAAAAGCATATTATGTTGGCAGAATCAGTAATACATGACTTTGTCTTGCAAATATTTGCATTTAGTTTAACTCTGTACATGTAAATAGTATAGTGCTGTCATGGTTTAATTCCAGCTGGCAACTAAGCACCATACAGACACTCACTCTCACCCAGTGGGATAGGGAAGAGAATCAGAAGAATAAAAAGGAGAAAACTCGTGGGTTGACATAAAAACAGTTTGTTAATTTTAAAATGGAAACAATAGTGATAATACTGATAGGAATAAAAAAAATATAAGGAAAAGAAAGAAATATCAGAGAATGCAAATAAAATCCAAGAAAGACAAGCGATGCAAATGAAAGCAATTGCTCACCAACTGACTGAGCCAGTCCAGCTGCCCAGTCAGTCTTCAAGCAGTGGCCCCCCTGCCAATGTCTCCCCTGTTTTTATTGCTAACTGTGACATCATATGGTATGGAATATCCCTTTGGTCAGTTAGGTTTAGCTGTCCCAGCTGTGTTCCCTCCCAACTTCTTGTCTACCCCCAGCCTACTCACTGATGGGGTAGTGTGAGAAGCAGAAAAGGCCTTGACTCTGTGTAAGCCCTGCTCAGAAATAACTAAAACATCCCTGTGCTATCAACACTGTTTTCAGCACAAATCCAAAACACAGCCCCATACAAGCTAATGTGAAGAAAATTAACTATCCCAGCCAAAACCAGTGCAGTTCACTGGGGATGCTTGCATGCATAAGAATGTGGATAAGACTGAAAATCTTGCTACAACCACCTTTCAGGTAGTTGTAGAGAGTTATAAGGTCTCCCCTGAGCTGTCTCTTCTCCAGGCTAAACAATCCCAGCTTCCTCAGCCCCGCTTCTCATATGACTTACTCTCCAGACCCTTCACCAGCTTCCTCGTCCTTCTTTGCACCTCAATGTCTTTCTTGTAGTAAGGGGCCCAAAACCGATCACAGTATGGACAGGGACATCTTACACTAGATCAGGTTGCTCAAAGACCTGACCAATCTGACCCTGAACACTTCCAGGTATGGGGCATCCACAACTTCTCTGTGCAATCTGTTTCAGTGTCTCACCACCCTCATTGTAAACACTTTCTTATGTCTAATCAAAACCTACCCTCTTTCAGTGTTCACCCCTTGTCCTACTGCTACGGGCCCTACTAGAAGTTTTGTCCCTTTCTTATAAGCCCTCTAAGTATTGAAAGACTACCTAGAGCCTTCCCTTCTCCAGGCTGAAAATCCCCAATTCTCTGAGTCTTTCCTCATAGGAAAGGTGTTCCAGCCCTCTAATCATCTTTGTGTCCCTCCTCTGGAACCACTCTAACAAGTTTTTCTTGTGCTAGGCACCTCAGAGCTGAATGCAGTACTCTAAGTGGGGTCTCACAGGAGTGAAGTAGGGAAGGAGAATTACCTCATTTGACCTGCTGACCATGCTTCTTTTCATTCAACCCAGGATGTGATTGTCATTCTGTGCTGCAAGTGCACATTGCCAGCTCATAGCCAGTTCTTCGTCCATCAGTGTATCCCCAAGTCCTTCTCTGCAGAGCTGCCCTCAATCTGTTCATTCCCTAGCCTATATTGATACTGATATTGATACTGGGGATTGCTCTGACCCAGGTCCAGTACTTTGCACTTGTCCTCGGGGGACTTCATGAGATTTGCATGGGCCCACTCCTCAAGCCTGTCAAGGTCCCTCTGGATGCTACATAGCAAACCAACTGAATCACTCAGTTTGGTGTCATCTGGAATCTTGCTGAGGGTTCACTCAGTTCCACTGTGTGTTATGTTGATGAAGATATTAAACAGTATTGATCCCAGCATGAACCCCAGAGGGACACCATTAGTCACTGATCTCCATTTGGACATGGAGACATTGACTAACTCTAGAGATGTGGCCATCCAGAAAAAATCCTTATCCATCTAACAGTCCATTGATGAAACCCATATCTCTCCAATTTAGCGGCCAGAATGTTTTGGGGGACCACTTCAAAGGCCTTACAGAAAGCCAGGTAGATGACATCCATAACTCTTCCTTTTTCCACTGATGCAGTCACTCTATTGTAGAAGACAACTAGATTAGTCAGACATAATTTGCCTTTGGTGAAGTCATGTTGGCTGTGTCTCTAATCACCTCCTTATTTTCCATGTTTTGACATATGCAGAATCATGGAATGGGTAAGTTGGAAGGGACCACTGGAGGTTGACTAGTCCAACCTATCTGCTCAAGCAAGGGCCCTAGAATACATTATTTAGGATTGTATCCAGACAGTTCTTGAATATCTCCAGGGAAGGAGACTCCACAATCTCTCTGGGCAACCTCTTCCAATGCTCAGTCACCTGCACTGTCAAGTTCTTCCTAATGTTCAGTTGGAACTTCCCGTGTTCCAGTTTCTGCCTGTTGTTTCTCATCTTATTGCTCAGCACCACCAAGCAGAGCCTGGCCCCATCCTCTTGACACCCTCCCTTTAGATACTTATATACATTGGTAAGATCACCTCAGTCATCTCTTCTCAAAGCTGAACAGGCCCAGCTTCCTGAGCATTTACTCGTAAGTGAGTTGCTCCAGTCCTCTAATCATCTTTATATCCCTCCACTGGACTTGGTCAAGGATCTCCATGTCTCTTTTGTACTGAGGAGCCCAGAACTGGACACAGCACTCCAGGTGAGGCCTAACCAGGGCTGAGTAGAGGGGCAGGATCACCTCCCTCCACCTGCTGGCAATGCTCTTCCCAATGCACCCCAAGATACCATTTGCCTTCTTGGCCACAAGGGCACTGCTGGCTCATAGGCAGCTTGTTGTCCACCAGGACCCCCAGGTCCTTCTCTGCAGAGCTGCTTTCCAGCAGGACACCCGCAGCCTGTACTGGTGCCTGGGGTTATTCCTCACCAGGTGCAAGACTGTGTACTGGCCTTTGTTGAATTTCAGACAGTTCTTCTCTGCCCATGTCTCCAGTCTGTTGAGATCTTTCTGAATGCCAGCATAACACTCTGGACTATCTGCCACTCCTCACAGTTTTGTATGGTCAGCAAACCTGCAGTGAAGGCACTCTATCCCTTCATCCAAGTTATTGATGAATGAGCTAAATAATACTGGACTCAATACTTTTCAGGACAATGTGTTTCATGATCTTACTAGGCTGGAGCTGAGGCTGACTGGTCTGTTGTTTCCAGGGTCCCCCTTTTTACCTTTTTTTAAAATGGGTACAATGTTTCCCTTTTTCCTGTCACCTGGGTCGTTTCCTGACTGCCATAACAAATATAATGCAGAATGACTTGGCAACTGTATCAGCCAATTCCCTCAGGACCCTGGCATGCATCTTGTTGGGTCCCATGGACTTGTGTGCACTCAAATTCCTCTGGTGGTCATGAACTGATCTTCTCCTATGATAGGAGGGACTTCTTTCCTCCATTTACTGTCTTGAGGTTCGGGGCTTTAGATATGTGGGAAGAGAGATTTTCATTGAAATCTGAGGCCAAAAAAATTGTTGAGTACCTAAGCCTTTTCCATGTCAGTTGTTACCAATTCTCCTGTGCTATTTATCAGGCTGGAGAAGAGAATAAATTTTCTTTAATCTTTCTTTTCTGGCCAATGTACCTGTAGAAGCCCTTCTCATTCTTCTCATCCCTTGCCAAATTCAGTACCAGCTGTGCCTTAGCTTTCCTGATCCCATCCCTATGCATTCAGGCAGCATCCCTATATTTTTTCCATGTTTCCATGTCCCTGTTTCCACAGCCTGTGCATTTCCTTCTCGTACTTTAGGTTTGACCAGGAGGTCCTTACTAGGCCATTCTGGTTTCCTGCCTTCCTTGCCTGATCTCTTGCATGTGGGAATCGAGAGCTCTTGTGCTCTAAGAATAATGTCCTTGAAGAGCTGCCAACTCTGTTCAGCTCCTTTATCCCTGAGGGCAGTTTCCCAGGGAGTCCCATCCACTAATTCCTTAAACAACTGAAATTTTGCTCTCTTAAAATTCAAAGTCCTGACTCTACTCTTCACCTGGCCCATATTCCTCAAGACTGTGAATTCCACCAGGGCAGGATTACTGCAGCAAGGGTTGCCACCAGTCTTGAGAACTCTAATTAGTTCTTGACATCTTTAATTAATTTAAGGCTCTTGATATATAGGGTTAAACTCATACAAGCAATAATCAATTGAAACCTAAACAATTCAGCTTAAACTGTGAAATCAAACACATGCTGCTTTAAATTTACTAGAAGATTTAAATAAACCAGGTAAACTAGAGCAACACACCAGTTCAATTTTTCTTGTTTTTTACCTGGTACATTTCACTTTTAATTCTAATTCTACCTGCATCATCATAACATTCTTTTTCATACTTGTATAGACAATTTAAGAGATCACAATAATATGTAGCCAGACCTACTTCTTACTGTAATACTCATCAAGTGTATTCAAATATTTTTAATTAATCTTGGATAATTTTCACATGAAGACAAATGAACCAGGCATGGGCTTTTTATAACCTTTGACACTTATGCCATGTCAAGATTTAGTTCTGTTTCATTGTTTACAAAAACTTCATTTTGTTTTATTCACTGTCACTAATTAAAAAAATACATTTTTGTAACTAGCAAATTAGTCGTAACATTGATAAGATTTTAGCTCTTCCTGATAATTTTATTAATACATTGTAGCAATTTGAAATTATATCACATGTATCCTACTTGAACGATGAGTCTGGGTGGGTTACCGATGGTTAATGTCAGAGGACTAGCAGCTACAGCAAAGACAAATTAGAAAATTAACTCTCCTATAAATAATAGAATTTAAATCACCCTGCACTTTTTACTATATGTAAATATTTTAAGGATTGTTCTGATAAAATTTGCATTGTAATACCAATGTTTCCTAATGGCAAAACTGTCAAAATGTGTATTTAGTTATTAAATTAAAAAATG